GAAATATTCGGGCGTCAATGAAGGTCACCTTTCAACTTAGTGTAGTGCCTAAAGATTACTCTGTGCGGCTATAAACGACTGTTAAATGGAATGATGAATTGTCGAAGGATTTTGAAAACGGAAAAAATGATAGTCATGCCGGCCCAGCATCATCAACGTTGAAAAATGCCCCGGCACGAAGTGGTTAAGAGCCTGAACATGTTGGGAGTGGCACCCCCAGTACTCCAGTGGGCACGCTCCTTGAACAGGTGAATTCCATTCACCTGTTGATGAAGTCACCTTAGAATAAACTGTTTAAACTTTCACTGTGTTTGTAAAGGTCCATTAACTTGTGCAGTATGCAGAAAAGCTACTTGATTTTCTGCCAGTTCAGACACTAAGAAATGGCTAGTTCAGTGAACAATTTCAAGCCATAAACTAGAATTTATACTGGCCTAAAAAGGTTGGAAGTGAAACAAAGTGAAAGCTGATCCTCTGCTTCCCTGCAGGGCACCATCCGCGTACCGGCGCCCTGCCTCTACGCCCACAAGCTGTCGTTCTTGGTGGGCCAGAGCCTCCACAAGGCACCCAGCATTGATCTGGCAGACAAGCTCTTCTTCCTGTAAGCATTCCGCAGTACTATGTAAGTGGAAGACGGCAACATTGAAGATCAGAGAGAGAGACCAAAAGTTCCTTGACAGCAAGTTCCTTGTCAAGAAGTTGTCTTGAGCCTCTTGATTGGTTTATCAGAACAGGATGTATCAGAAAGCAATGCAAGGTGCTGTTTGTTAACTTATATGTTTTTTATTTTTGTGCTATTTTTCATTTTGCCAAAGGGAGCTTGTCTCCTAAAACGACAGCAGAAAGCTAAGATGATGCTGCTGTTGTGTATTATTTGCTTCTATCTCTGAAAAGTGTTCATCAGTTGCCGCATGCTGAGGTTCAACAATAGGTATTGTGAAAGAATAGGCAGAGCAAAAAAGTTACCTTCTCTCAAAGGGAAATCATTTGGAGATGCTTAAAACAATCGCATTGGACAATTTTGTGGTGGAGATTTAAGTGAGTACTCATTGTTATGGTGCTATTTATTTTGGGATCATGGAGACTCTGTTCAGAAACATTGATTCCCGATTTTACTCCTTTGTTAGTCTGTAAATCTGCAAGCTTCCAAAGGATTTAGGTGTTAGCTTTGAATTATGATAATCTATGACTCGCCAAGCCTATTTAAAGGGAGGAGTTGCGAGACTTCTTATGACAAATTGAGAAATTGGTACACTTTCATAATGAAAAAGCTGCCAGACTCTTTAGATTTATGTTTTGAGAGCCTTGTCAAAAATCTATGCAAGTATTCAGGCCAGAATCCTGTTGAAGTTTCTTTAATGTGTTCTTTGTGGATTTTTTGTTTGTTTTGTGAAATATTTGTTTCTCAAGATGTTTTACTGCAAAGAATGCAGTCATGTTGTCGTAAAATGCAGGGTCGGTTTGGCATTAAGTTGACCGTCAACCTGTCTAGGTAGGGCAGAGGTGCTGAATCTGCGATTGCACTGGGAAGTATATGTCCTAACTTGATAAATTTTGGAATAAATTGAATCTAACAACTGCGTATGACGAATGAATGTGATAAAAAAAACTTGCCCAAACAAAAGTAAGGTTGGCTCAGCTTTCATGTTTCTCCAAAGAAAAAGATCAAGCAAGATTTTTTTTTCTGTAATTTTTTTCACGTTGATATTCACAAAAGATAAAACATGAAAAGATTGAGAAATGATACCTTGCTTGTTATTGAGGTATACTCATATGCCATATCTGGCATTACACAAAAAGCATTCCTTAGTTGTTTTGGACAAAGTTGAATGGATCAAAAATATTTATTTTTGACAAACAAAAAGTGGTTTATTTTTCACCAGCAAGTAG